CCCCCCCCCCCTTCCCCCCCAAAGAAAGAAGAAAAAGCACAAACAGTTTTAAATAACCAAATAAAAAATTTATTGATAGCAGCAAAAATGCACAAAAAAAAAACAGTATAGTTATTTAAATGACTAAAATTTTGTTTTTGAAGAAAAAAAAAACAACAAAATAAACATTAAGTAGACAAAAAAAAAAATGCAAAATTTTCATATGAAACAAAGACTAAAAAAAACTGAAAAGAAGGGGAAAAAGACAATAACGGGAAAAAAAAATTTATGCCTATTTGAATGGATACATCTAAAAAAAAAGTCTATAGCTGTAACAGTGAAATACCCAAACTAAACTAATCACCAACAATATGTTTCTTCAAACAGCTCTATAAACAGTAAACTTTAATTAGGATTGTATCAGCCCATTAAAATGTTTTCTGTTTTCAACTATCTATTTTGCAATTATTTTTTCAACTTTTTTTATTATTTTACTGTTTAAATAAATCATATAAAAAATTTTCTTTCAACAATCCTCTAACAAATTAATTTTAAAGCAAAAAAAAATCCCTTCAAAACAAGTCTATTCACTATCCCACTAATATACTGACCAACAACTGTGTTAAATCTTAAAAATTAGAAGGTTAAAGACAGCAATATATTAATGACATCGTTTCATTTTCACAGTTTTCTCTCCTTTAACAACGTAAAAATTGATAATAAATAATAGAAAAGTAATAAATTGATAAAAAAAAAAAAGAAAAACTTCTCACCTGCCATAACATGGCCAAGGCATACGTTGAGCCAATATTGATGTTGGTAAAACAATTCCAATACAACAAATATATACAATAATAACAGTGAATGTTACTATCGGTTGCATAGCAATATCCCAGTTTTCTTTTTCTTTTTTTACTGTCGCTGTTGATCGGCTTATTACAGATTTTGCAATTTGGAACAGTAAAATAAGCAACCAGCAATAGAATTGTTGTTCAATGCTAACAACATATAACAGTACCGAAGGTAGGAAGATGATGATGAAGAAGAAGAAGATGAAGATGATGATGATGATGAAGAAGAAGAAAAAAAAAAAGGTAGAAAAAAAAAGTGAAAGAAGATTTCTTCTTCAAGCAAATGACGATGATAATATCGTCACGTTGATTTCTCAGCTTTTCAGCAAATACATTTGAAATCTGAAAAATCAAAAATTACTGAAATTAATTAACGCTAACTAACAAATTATTCAATAATTATCGAAACCAAATAACAGTATCAACAAAAAAAATAAGTCAAAAAAAAAAAGAGCACAAGATAAGTCTAATAAACAACAATACAGTATCAATCAGTGGTATAAGTAATATCCTAATTTTTTACTTTTTTTTTTTAGTCTCTCTATCACACCATTCACAGCTGTCGTCATCTGAACATAGATTATAATTGGATGAATGGCAGTTGAAAGCTAAGAAAACTGCTGGTGCAAAAATAGATAAACTTAACGA